CACAGTGGATAGCTGCCATGGAGCAGGAGATGGCATCTTGGAGATCCACCGACACCTTCGTCGACGCAGTTCCCCCACCTGGGGTGAACGTAGTCGATGGCCGCTGGCTCTTCAAGGTGAAGCGCCCTCCTGGAGAGCCGCCTGTCTTCAAGGCGCGCTATGTTGCTAGAGGCTTCAGTCAGCGCGAGGGCGTGGACTTCTTCCAGACTTTCGCTCCGACCCCGAAGATGACTACTCTTCGGGTTCTGTTACACGTAGCTGCTCAGCGTGACTACGAGCTTCACTCCCTCGACTTCTCCACTGCCTTCCTTCAGGGCAGCCTACACGAGCAGGTCTACCTGCGTCGCCCTCCGGGCTTTACTGGCACCTTCCCTCCTGGGACCCAGTGGCTCCTGCGGCGCCCCGTCTACGGCCTGCGCCAGGCTCCCCGTGAGTGGCACGACACTCTTCGTGCTACCCTTGCTGACCTGCAGTTCTTTCCGTCTTCCGCAGACCCTTCACTCTTCGTTCGTGCTGGCCAGACTCCGTTCTACATCCTTGTTTACGTCGACGACCTGGTCTTTGCCACGGCAGACAGGGACGCACTGGCCTCTGTGAAGGCAGAGCTGCTGAAGAGACACACCTGCACTGACCTTGGAGAACTGCGCCGTTACCTTGGCTTGCAGATCTCCAAGGACAGAGCTGCGCGCACCATCACCCTGACTCAGTCACACTTGGTGCGCCAGGTCCTTCAGAGGTTCAGCCTTCAGTTCTCCTCTGCACAGCCCACCCCTCTGCCTGTAGACCACAGACTCTCCGCTCCAGTACCTGAGGAGTCAGTAGAGCCCAGTGGCCCCAAGGAAGTAGCGCTCCTGACGCGGCCCAGGGACGGGGGCGGGGCCCCAGACGTCCATGTGCAGGGTCTGCAGCGGCGCGGCGGTAGGGGGAAACGAGGAGGAGTGAGGGGCACGGCGAAGCCGACCCTCGACACAAGGCGTGCAAGGTGGGGCTGGAGAGGAGGGAAATGCGGGGAGCGAACCTGGGAGACCAAGGACGAGACCGTGCTGAGACATGTGACGCAGACGCGGGAGCGCAGGGTGACCTAGACGGTGGTGCCACAGGAGGGTCGGGTGAGTGAGGGAGCGACAGGAGCAGGCAGCAGCAACCTGGGTAGACGCAGCCACCTGAGGGGGCGCTCCAGCCGGGGGGGTCACTGTGTCCAGAGTGAACAGGCCGGACACCGGGTCCCGGGGGAACGTGGACAGGGGGGCACCAGTGGCGGCCTCGGTACAGACAGCATACCGCTCGTGACCAGGGAACGTAGTGGTGACGCCAAGGTCCTGGAGGCAGCCGACACCAACTAGGTTCCTGGAGAACGAGGGGATATGCAGACCTGTAAGAGAACCCGAAGGAACCGCCGGACAGGGAAGGGTGGTGGAACTGCGGGCGACTACCGGACCGCCGGAGGGGTCAGCAAGAGAAACGGCAGCAGGAACAGGAAGCGGCGTCAGGATGGTGGAGTCGCGGAAGAAACACCGAGAGGCGCCAGAGTCCAAGGTGAAGGAAAGCGAAGCCGAGGGGTATGGCGACGGAACGACGGCGGAAGCACCAAGACTACACAAAGCAGGGGATCCTACGCCTGACGCAGCAGGGGAGGCTAAGCTAGGCACACATACACTAGGCAACAGTGAGTAATAAGCGGGAAGCACACTAGAGTCTTCAGCATACATCACATGCAGAGCAGAAACAATGGCATCCATGTCCATATCAAAAATCTGAATCTGACGACTAAGCAAACTGTGCCAGTCCGGGAGGTCTGGCGACGGGCCGAAGCGCTGACGAAAGAGGTCGTCCAGGCGACGAAAACAGCGGGGAGTGGAGTGACCGAGCTTACCGCAAACGAAGCCGCGGCGAGGACCGGTCTGGAGCTGGTACTGACAACGCCCGCCGCCAGAGCCACCACGTGGCACACCACCACGCGCCCGGCCACCGCCAGCGCCGGGCCACCCTGGCGGGAGGACACTCGTCTGCCGCGTCTGCGACGGCTGCTGCGGCTGCTGCGAAGGCTGCGACTGCGGCGGCTGCTGCGGCTACTGCACCTGCAGGGGCGGCGACTCAGCTGAACTGGGCAGGGTCCCCTCGTCCACTCCAGCACCAGGCGACCCGACCCCACCACTACCCCCGCCCGCACCCCCGCCGCCTCCTCCGCCGCGCCCAGCCTTGGGGCGGCGGCCCTTCCCCGAACGGACCTGCGCTGCAGCAGCAGTCTCAGCCACTGCGGCAGTGCCGTCGGAGAAGGTGCACTGAGCGGGGGCACAACCCTGAAAGATAGGGACCGGCACGACACTGCTCGCCTGGGCAATGGAGCGGTGACGGGTCTCTATCACAGTCAGGGTGTCTACAAAGTCAGTGAGGGTGAGGCCTGCGGGGTGAACGCTAAGAAAGCGGTCGCGGGCGACAGCAAGGCGGTCAGGGAGGCGGGTGGCAAGTAGGTAGAGGGTAGAGGTAATGGGCGGCTGGTGGGCTCTAAGCTGGGCGTCAGTGCAGGCAGCGCGCCAGGTCTCATCTATTGAGCGCAGGTCGGCAGCCAGGTCAGAGACAGTGGGGAAAGATGCAAGGTCAGGAAAGAGCATCGGAAGGATCAGGCGACCCACCGAGGCAGCCGGGGGGGGTGGAATAGCGCTTGATCACAGCATCTAAGTATGCCTGAGCAGTAGTGAGGGACCTAAAGCGAGGACGCTCGGATGGGGGAAGGGCGTTGCTAATGGCAAGCTGGGCAACAGCATCGCGAGAAAGCCAGACAGAGCGCGCACGGGCAGTGGCAGCAGTAGCCTCACGCTCAGTGGGTGTGGGGTCAGCGGGCAGAATAGCAGGGGGGTCTGGGCAGGAGAGCGTACCGTCAAGGTGTGCGGAAAGCGGTTCACCATCCTGCCGCTGGCCAGTGAGTTGACTGCGGAGGTCGGCAAGCCACGCCTCGAACTCTAGGGGCTGACCTTCAGCGCCGAAGCGAAGCTCCGCCGCCATCAGGAACAGTCCAGTGCAGTGCAGGGCAGTGCAGTGCGGTGCAGTGCGGTGCAGTGCGGTGCAGTGCGGTGCAGTGCGGTACAGTGCGGTGCAGTGCGGTGCAGTGCGGTACAGTGCGGTGCAGTGCGGTGCAGAGGCAGTACAGTGTGGTGCGGGGCAGCACGGAGCAGGGCGGGGTGGGGGGGGAACCGTACCAGTGAGGAGGACGGGGCCGGGGCTGGCCCGACGGGGCCGGGCGGGCGCGACGGGGCCGGGCTGGTGCGACAGGGCCGGGACGAGTGCGGCAGGGCCGGGCCGGTGCGACGGGGCCGGGCGAGCGGGACGGCGGCCGGGCGGGTGCGACGGGGCCGGGCGGCTGCGACGGGGCCGGGCAGGGTGGGACGGGGCCGGGCGGGGGCGACGGGGCCGGACGGCTGCGACGGGGCCAGGCAAGGGCGACGGGGCCAAGCGGCTGCGACGGGGCCGGGCGGGCGCGACGGGGCCAGGCGGCTGCGACGGGGCCGGGCGGGCGCGACGGCGCCGGGCGGGCGCGACAGGGCCGGGCGGCTGCGACGGCGCCGGGCGGGCGCGACGGGGCCTGGCGGCTGCGACGGGGTCGGGAAGGGTGCGACGGGGCCCAGGAGGGGCGCGACAGAGCCCAGGAGGGGCGCTACGGGGCCTGGGCAGAGCGCGACGAGGCCCAGGAGGGGCGCTAGGGGGCCTGGGAGGGACGTGACAGGGCCCAGGAGGGGCGCTACGAAGCCCAGGAGGGGCGCGACGAGGCCCAGGAGGGGCGCTACGGGGCCCAGGAGGGGCGCGACGGGGTGCTACGGGGCCTGGGAGGAGCGCGACGGGGCCCAGGAGGGGCGCTAGGGGGCCTGGGAGGAGCGCGACGGGGCCTGGGAGGGGCGCGACGGGGCCTGGGAGGGGCGTTACAGGGCCCAGGAGGGGCGCTACGAAGCCCAGGAGGGGCGCGACGAGGCCCAGGAGGGGCGCTACAGGGCCCAGGAGGGGCGCGACGGGGCGCTACGGGGCCTGGGAGGAGCGCGACGGGGCCTGGGAGGGGCGCGACGGGGGCTGGGAGGGGCGTTACAGGTCCCAGGAGGGGCGCTACGAAGCCCAGGAGGGGCGCGACGAGGCCCAGGAGGGGCGCTACGGGGCCCAGGAGGGGCGCGACGGGGCGCTACGGGGCCTGGGAGGAGCGCGACGGGGCCCAGGAGGGGCGTTAGGGGGCCTGGGAGGAGCGCAACGGGGCCTGGGAGGGGCGCGACGGGGCCTGGGAGGGGCGTTACAGGGCCCAGGAGGGGCGCTACGAAGCCCAGGAGGGGCGCGACGAGGCCTGGGAGGAGCGCGACGGGGCCTGGGAGGGGCGCTAGGTGGCATGAGCGGAAGCGGTAGGTGGGGGGGATCCTACCTACGCGTGATACCATATCAAAATTGGAATTGAATAGATGGTAAAGTGAGAGTACACACAAATATACCTAAGTGTTGTACCCTCTAAGAGGTAACCCTATACAGTCTATACAAACATGACAAATACAGATGTTTGACAGGGCGCGGGCTGTGGGAGGATTTTTTATGGCTGCAAGGGACTTAGCCGAATTTTTGGGAGGTGTAGGAGGGAGGGAAGTTTCTCGCTGTGGGGGTGTTTCCCGTGTGTGACTCTGGTTGTACGTCCTGGACCCTGAAAAAATCAGACTCGCTGAGTTCTGGACCCTGACATTTCAGACTACAAAAATTTCGGCTGAAGGCCCTTCAGACTATTTTTTTTGGGGGGGGGGTTGGCTCAGAGTGCCTTTTTTTGAAACGTCAGCCCTGGTTATGATACATCGCTAGGTTTTCAGCCTTTGATTTACGTTTTATTCGTCGAACAATCTTCTCTACAAGAAATCGTCACCTACAGAAAGTATAGCATACCAGCCAGCCAACCTAACTGAGCGCTAGTAGCGAAATGTACTATATTGGGGTTCTTATTGGCCTTCACAGCTCTCTGAACTTTATGCTTGCGACTTCCCCGAGAATGCCATGTGACCCGACCACGTAGGGTAGCCCACCAGCCATCAAGCCCACCTTCAGACAGCAGCCTGTTCGTCGCTGCAAGCCTGCAAGCATCTAACACAGTCGTAGCCTTGTAGGGCAGCAATGACGCTTCGCTCGGTCCAGCGGTCGCAGCGCCGAAGCTCCACCGGCGGGCAGCCCGTGCAGCGGACGCCCAGCCACGGCGAGAAGCGCGGCGGCACGCTGGATGCGCGCGCACAGGGGCGGTATAAGCGGAGGAAGCCCGCCAGCGCGTCGCGCTCCGCGCGTGGTCAATCCGCCGACGAGCCCGACGATTCCGAGAGACCCGCGCGCCGTGCGTCGCTGCGCGCCGCTGCCGGCGGGAAAGAGGGCGCGAGGAAGGGGAAGCGGAAGGAGAGTGAGGAGAAGCCGGTCTCGATGATTCTCCCGCCGATTCCCAGCAGCGCGGGGGCCTTGTTCCAAGTCCGCACCAACCTGACAGGTCGGGTTATCATCTCACTGTCTCCCGATTTCCGCTTCCTGGCTTCCTGCGATCTAGGATCTAGGTGTCGACCTGAGCGACCGTTCGTCGCTTGATTTTCTTCCGATTCTAACGATTAGTTACCCCTACTCCCTAACCCATGGCCGTCGGCGCCATCTCAACGGATGCCACAGCGAGCCTGCCGTCATCGCAGCCGTCGCTCACAAACCATGCTCTCTCCGTGTCTCCCCCCCGCAACCCCTGCTGACGTGGCACCAGACTTCAGGGCGCGCCAGCTGGCGATGGCGGTGGAGGCGGGCGTCAGCAGCGAGGTGGTGTGGGCGCTCAACGCGCTGCAGCTGCTCAGCTTCTCGCACAAGGACACGTGGCAGCACGGGGTTGGACCTCTCAGCAAGGCGCCTCAGCTGCTCTCAGCGTTAACCTCAGTGGTGCGCTTCTTTCACGCCGTGTCATCGCTTTGCACCGCTTCCATTCCCTCATCTCGTTTTATCCCGCTCCTCTCCCCCCACCTCACCCACCGCATATTCACGCCCAGGTGTTGACCCTCAACCCTCCCCGCCGCCCTGCTTCCGCCTCTCACTCACGTGCCATTTCAATCGCGCACCTCTCTAACCCCACCAGGTTGCATCGTGGCGTGTGTGCTCTCTCGAGACAACCGACGCTGCCACGTGGCGAGCCATGAGGGGAGGACCCGAGGGCGGCGACACGGCAGCAGCAGGGCAGTCTGCGTTCGAGAGCACGGCGAGGAGCGGTAGGCCCGGGCGGCCGTCTCGCCTGCTGCACGACCCCCTTGGGGAGCGCATTTGGTAAAGCGCGCCGCACGGCGCACGGACCACCACCCCACGCTGCTCCCAAGGCCATCATCATCAAGTACCTCGTCTCATTGCACCTCGCCTCATTGCACCTCGCCTCATTGCCCCTCGCCTCATTGCCCCTCGCCTCATTGCACCTCGCCTCATTGCACCTCGTCTCGCACTTGCCTGCTCTGTACGCCATCCCGCGTCATTCCTCGCGCCCTTGATTCTTCTCATCCGCTATCCCCTTGTCCCTCCACTCTCCCCATCCCATTCCCCCTCCCCCCCCACACACTCCCCCCCTCCCCCCTCCCCCAGCACCTACTTCCCGGAGGCTGCTCGCCCTCTCATGCCCGCCCCGCCGCCCACCGCTCTGCAACCCTCACCCGCGGACCACCCTCTTGCCGCCGCTGCTGCTGCGGCTGCTGCTGGTGGCATGAGCGCGTATGGGCGCGGGCACAGGGGAGGGGGGGTGGAGGCGCGGGGAGGAGAAGGGGGCGGGGAGGCGGGTGGCGGGAGAGGAGAGGATGTGGGAGGTGCAGTGGCAGGGGGGGCGGGGGGGAAGGCGGAGGGGGAGGAGGGGGGAGAGGAGGCGGGCTGGGAGTCAGAGCTGAGTGCGGAGGAGCGCGAGCTGTGGTGGGCGGAGCGGAGGGTGTTCAACAGCGGGGATGGGGGGCGGGGTGAGAAGGTGCAGTGCGCCACAGCGGCGTCCAGCGTGCTTCGGAATTTCTCCTTCTTCCCCGAGTGCGCCCAGGCCATGGGAGGCCATGCGGCGTGCGTGGCCATGCTGGTGGCAGCGATGGAGGACCACGAGAGGGGTGAGAGCGAGGGGTGAGAGCGAGGGGTGGGGCGGACTGTTGGGGAGGTGAGGGGGAGGTGGTACGGCAGGGGGCGAGTTCCATGCGCTGCTGCTGCCAACCCTTGCCTCTCGTCTCCCCCCAACGCCTGGCACGTGGCACCACGCGTCTGCACCCGCCTTTCCATCGCTTCTCCTGCCGTCTCTCTCCCCCTCTCACCTGCTCACTCGTTCCCCCTCCCTCCCCCCCCCCCGCCCCTCCTCCCCCGCGTTGCCCATCCCCCCTCCCGCCATCCAGAGGACGAGGAGATCGTGACCAATGCGGTGGAGACACTTGGCAACATCGCACCGGCCGTTGACCTCGCCTCCTACCCCAACCATCCCCTCCCCGACCCCTCCTCCACCGCCCCCCTCTCCTCCGCGCTGCCTGACTCAGCAGCAGCCGCCCCTCCCGTCTCCCTCACTCGCTCTGCTGCTGCTCACGCCGCTGCGCCCGCTGATGGGCTCACCATGGCCGCCCCTGCTGCTGCTGCTGCTGCCGGTGGTGCTGGTGGGGGCGGGGCTCGAGGGGTGATGAGGTGGGTGCAGCTCCTCTCTGCTCTCCTCCATCCAACGGCGCCACCACTTCTCCCCGCGTCCTCTCATCTCCCCATGGTTCATCCTTCCACCTCTGCTGCGTGCTGCTCTTAACTGTTCTCCTCCCCCGAACCCTCCCCCCCGCGCCCTCGCCCCAGCGTGCCGCGCATCCTGGCAGTGCTGGCCGCGCTGCTGCGCAGCCCCGTGGCGCCGTGGCAGGTGGCGGCGGCGGAGGCGTGGGGGCGGCTGCTGCTGTGCGGCGACAACGACCTGCTGCTGCTGCCCGCTGCCACCCACCTCAAGGTGCGCTGTGGGGCATGCATGGGAGGGGTGGGGTGTGAGATGCATGTGGTGTGGTATATCAGTTATATGGTAACCAGCCCTTGCACATTGCTTTCACACGGCCAACAACACCCCCCTCCCCCTCATCCCCTCTCCTCTTACCCCTCACCACATCGGCAGGTGTACCCGCAGCTGTCGCTGCTGCTGGCCTCCCGCGACCCCGACTTCCAGGCCAGGGCGCTCTCCTCCATCGCGCTCTTTGCTGACGCCTCTCCGGGCGCCAAGTACAGCCTGGCACACACGCCACAGTGAGTGCAGCACACGCCACAGTGAGTGCAGCACGTGCCACGGTGAGTGCAGGACGTGCCACAGTGAGTGCAGCACGTGCCACAGTGAGTGCATGTGCCACAGTGAATGCAGCACACGCCACAGTGACTGCAGCACATGCCACATTGACTGCAGCACACGCCACAGTGACTGCAACACATGCCACAGTGAGTGCAGCACGTGCCACAGTGAGTGCAGCACTTGCCACAGTGAGTGCAGCACATGCCACAGTGAGTGTTGTCATTTCCCTTGGGGTGGTGCGTGTATGTTCTCTGACTGTGACTGTGTTTGAAAGCACACCTCATGTTTCTCCACCTCGTCATTTCCCTGCTTTCTTGCTCCCCCCAGTCCCTCCTCTCTCTTTCATCCCCTCACACCCCTCTCTCCCACTCTCCCTCTCTCCCTCTCTCCCACTCTCCCTCTCTCCCTCTCTCCCACTCTCCCTCTCTCCCTCTCTCCCACTCTCCCTCTCTCCCTCTCTCCCTCTCTCCCTCTCTCCCTCTCTCCCTCTCTCCCTCTCTCCCTCTCTCCCTCCCTCCCTCCCCACCCTTGCTCTCCCCTCCCCCCCAGTCTCCTCGCCCGTCTGCTGTCGCTGGTAACCGCACCTCACCCGTTACCTCGGGTGGTGCGCCGGGCCGCCGCCATGCTGCTGGCGCTCGCCAGGGAGCCGCGCACGCGTGCCGCCTTCACGCCGCTCGAGCCACAAATCGCCCGCGCTGCTTTCCACTGCAGCCCTCCTGCTGCTGCCACTGCTGGTGCTGGCGCCGGTGGGGGTGTTGGGGGCGGCGGTGGCGTGGAGGTGCAGGTGAGTGAGGCGCTGGCGGAGGTGCTGTGGCGCGTGTCGTGCGCGCTGGGGGCGGAGCAGTGGCGCACGGGTGAGGGGGGCGCTGGGGAAAACCTGTGGGGTGCAAGAGGGTGCGACACGTGATGGTAGTGCTGGTGGTGTGACGAGTGCCGTGGTGGTGGTGGGATCGCAGCGGGGATAGTGGTGGTGCTGGTTTGATGTTGCTGCTGCTGCTGGTGATTGTTGAGAGCGATGGTGTGGTGAGGACGTGGCATTGATGGTGACGGTGCTGTGGGGACTGCTGGCATGTGTGATGGCTCGCTGGGGCTGGGGCTGCCATCCACACTGCCGCTTGCTGCTGCTGCTGCTGCTTGCTGCTTGCTGGGGTCCTTGCTGGTGCTGCTTGCTGGGGTCCTTGCTGGTGCTGTTGTCGGGGTTCATCAATTGGGGGTTCGATGGCTATTGAGAACACATTTCATATGATCTAGTATGGTTTTGTATAATAGTTTAATAGTGTACATGGAAACAGCAAGCCATCTTATTCATTGCTAACCGCATGCAGGCAGTGCATGGGAAAGTGCCACCTGAATACTGCATGGCATGCAAGGGCATGCGAGAGGTATGCGAGGGGCATGCCAGGCGCTGCTGAGATCCAGGGTGCGGCTGAGACAAGCCGGCCTGGCCACACATGCTCAGCTGGGCGAGCGAGCAAGCAAGCTATCAAATCAATGAATCGAGGGTACTGGATAACCTAAGGACGGACAGGGGTTTAGCAACCACCGCCTCGTTGCTGTTCTTCAGCTGGATCTTATTTCTTCCTGTGCCACTGCTACAGCCACGGCTACAGCACTGCTGAAGCTGCTAGCATAGCTGCTACTGCTGGAGACCCGCTTGTTCTGCTGCTCTCACTGCATCGCCCACACAGCCTGCACCAGCAGCAGCAGCAGGGGGTGTGATGCAGGCAGCAGCAGCGAGGGCAGCGGGGGGGGCGAGGCCCAGGTAGCGCGCCATGCAGTCGATGAACTGCGCCCTCTGCTGCCGCTCCCCCATGCCCGCCCCCTGCCGCCGCGCCCACACCTTCCTCCGCACCCCTCTTCCTCCTCGTCCTGCTGCTCCTGCTGCTGCAGCTCCTGCTGCTGCTGCTCCTGCTCCTGCTGCTCCTGCTGCTGCTGCAGCACCAACAGCAGCAGCGAAGGTGGCAGTCTCAGCGCTGACGGCACCACCAGCAGCAGCCGCAGGGGAAGCATCAGGAGCAGGAGCAGCGAGGAGCACGCTGTCAGCGAGGGGCGTGCTGTCAGGACTCCCGTGTGGGAGGCAAGTCGGCCGCCCGCGTTTGCGCGCTGCGGGGTCGCAGCGGCAGTGAAGCTGCGTGGCAGGCGGCGCAGGGTGGCACTCGTGGCTGGCGGGGTTGGATGACCTGGCCGCCCTTGATTGGCCACCAGCTGGTTGCTGCGCCGCCGAAATGAGGGGGAGAATCTGCGGAGGGAGAATCTGCTGCTGCTCGTGCAGGGATGACGCCGACACCGGCAGAGCTGTGGCATGCACTGGCAGGGGTAGGGCACTTGAGCTGAGGGACTTGTGGAGGAAGAGAGGGGCGGGGAGGGCGGGCAGCACGTGGGAGTGCGAGTAGGATCGCAGGAGGGGTGGTGCTGGATAGAGCGTGGGGGAAGGGAGAGCAGCACTTGTGGGGTGAGGGAGAGAGGCAGCGGTGGATGAGGGAGGTGAGGAGGCGGCGAAGGGCGGGCAAGAGGAAGGGGGGAGGGTGGGGGGGCAAGGGCGTGGCAGAGCGTCAAAGGCGCTGGCAGGGGGTGAGGAGGGCGTGCGGCAGAGGGCGGAGGTGGTCGCGTGGTGGAGGACAGCGGCGGGGGGGGCGGGTGAGGGGAGGGCGGGGCAGCAGGAGGCAGGAGCGAGGGGGGAGGCGTGTTGAGGTGGTAGGAGTGGTGGCACTGCGCAGGGGTCGTGGTCCATGGCGTGAGGGTGGGGGTCGAAGGGGAAGGCCAAGGGGTGTGCGGGGAAGGAGCCATTTGGTGAGAAGGGGTCGGCCGAGAGCCACAGGGGGTTTGGGTTGAGGGGGGTGGCGTCCCACGAAAGAGTGAATGGCTCGGTCAAGGCTGCCGGGTCGCCCGCGCTCAGCGCTGGGTGGTGGTGAGCATGGACGGCGTCATCGTCGCCCAGCAGCGCGGCCACCAGCTCCCATCCCACTCGCGCAGCCTTGATGGGGTGTGGCGGTGCAGCTGGCGCTGCAGCAGCAGCAGCAGCAGCAGCAGCAGCAGCAGACGGTACAGTTGGGGGAGGGGGAGGAAGAGGAGGAGGAGGAGTAGGGGGAGGAGGAGGGGGGGGAGCGGGGAGGAAGGAAGGCATGGCGGCGGGGGGGGAGGAGCAGAACCACGCGGCAGCAGGGGCTGCAATGGTGGCCGCACCGCTGCTGCTCGTGGCGCAGCTGACGCCTTGCGTCTCCAGGAACCGCCTGATGGAGGGAGAAGGGGGGATGCGAATGGGGGGAGACCAATGGGGGGGTGAGAATCGTGAGACGAGAGTGAGGAGAAAGGGGAAGCTGGAATGGGTGCGGGGAAGCAGAGGGCCGTGCATCGAATCAGATCAGATCCAGCAGTTTCCTGGTCGGACGGGCTCCAGAATCCAGAGATCTGCAGCGCTCTCACGCCCATGCTTCATGGAACGGAAAGGGGTAGTAAAGGAGTGGCGAGTCACCTTTTAAGGAGGATGAAGCGGTTGCAACAGGCCTTGTTGTCGCGGTGCGGCGGCAGCAGTCCCGAGGCGCGCAGCTTGCTCCAGTTGCGCGTGCCGTGCACGCACACGTGCTGCAGCAGCACCTCGTCCTCCTGCGCCACGTCAGCAGGGGGCGTGGGGCATTCAGGAGAAGGGGGAGGGTGAGGGGTCCGCATTGGGAACGGTAGGGGAGGTTGCGGACAAGTGGAGTGGGAGGAAGGAGGGAAGAGGGAGGACGAGGAGGAAGATCGTGAGGATGGGGGAAGGAGATTTGAGAGTCAAAAAGGGTGACGCGATGCGAGGGGGTGCAGGGAAGAGGTTGGGCGAGTAGGGCGTGGCGGAGCGGAGCGTACCTCGGGCGTCCACCAGCGGGTGCTGTGCGCCATGCGCATGCCCTTCCAGGCCGTGCTCTTTCCCGCCACTGGCGCAAAGGCCGCCGCCTCCGCATCGCACGGCGCCCATTCCGCGTCCAATGCGGGCGCATCATTCCGAGCTTGAATGTCTGTGATGTCCCACGGCGCCCCCTCCGCATCCCACGGCATTCCATGGCCGTTGATCCCAGTATTTTCCGCGCTGCCGTGAATCAGAGTTGATCCGCATTCGACCGCCGATGTCTTGGCGTGGCAGTCACCATAGACAACCGTTCCGCCGGGACAATCGTGGAATTGCCGCGATCGCTTCCGCGGTGCGGCTGGCAAACCCGCCAAGGGGCTCATGTTGGCGGTTAATCTCTCCGTATACGCGCCTCTAGAGCGATAGTCTGTGCGTGTAATACGCGTGGTGAAGAATGCGACGCGTCAATATGGCTCTCCCGCGAGCAACTTTGAAGTTGTTGATTGCTTGAGGGAGGAATTCGCGCTAGGAATCTGGCGCTCGCTTTCGAAGATTTGTGATCCTTCCAACTGCATGTTCTCACTTGATTGAAGGATTTCGCATGCAACGGGACTGACTCTTGAGCTGAGCGATTGTGGAGTTGGGGGTACACCTGTCCAGCTGGCGCGATCGCCGCCCTCGATTTCCGATCCGAGGTGCATCGAGCGGCCGGCCGGAGGGGAAGGAATCGGCGAGCTTTGCCACGCTGGGGGGGGGGGAGACCGTCGAATGTGGAAATGCGTGGCGCACAGATGTGTGGGCATCAGCGGTTCGACACGAATGGACGCATCTCGAAGGCGTAAGGAATCCCACGGGATCCACACACAGCCTAAACTGTCGCGTTTGACAGCACGGATTGGGAGGTATGTGACGTGGACACGTGCGATAATCGTGCCATCATTGGAATGGAGTGTGGTATTCCTTCTGTGGCAACTCGGGCAGACCACACTGAAACTGTTTTTTAAGGGAGGTATGTGTAAGGGCTTCAAATAACCTGCACTATCCCATTTATACACTTCCAATCGAGGCATTGATATTCTAAATTTTCCAAGAGCACAATCTCAAGGTTTATGGCTGCGAAAGCCTACTCTAGTGCAACCGACAGCTGGACAAGTTATTGACCAGGATTGGCGAGTTGCGTGTGGCAGGTGTAGACCAATCGGCTGTCTTGAACCTGTATAACCTGCACCGATTGGTCATCACACTGCTGCCCTCGAACGTGACGAATAGAACGGGTGAAGCTTCGTAGAAAGTCTGGTCCTCTCTTGGTGTAGCTCGTAGCTAACAGGGTACTTACCTTTGATTTCGATAAGTTACGAGTTATTTTCGGTTGATCCTGTTTGTTTGCAGAGCAAAAGCTCCTGATTCCTTCCACGTTACCGTTTCCCGTTCATGTGATCCCTTCCCTTGACATTACGGGTACCTTACTTTGATTCCGGACGAAGTGCACTTGTGGAGGGGAATCTGTCCTGTGTGCTTGATTCTGGACGAAGTGCACTTACACCTTCCCAAGCCTCCCCGCCTTCTCCACACCTCCCGGCACGCCCTCCACTAAGCAAATAGAGAAGTTTCTCTCCCTGTTAATTGTTTCGTTGTTGGCAGTAGTTTTCCCACTCTCCCCACCTCCTGAGGCACAGTATGAGCAAGAAACATTCCCCGAGGATTCCAAGGCTCTCACGAGGGCAAGAAGTGTTCACAGTAGCCCAACGTCGAATTAATTTCCGACGTCGGTTATTTATTTGCCCGTGAAAAAAATGCTGTCGGCGGAAGTTCGACGAGCCTATTTTCAGCAACCCTCCAACAGGGCTTATGCTAGGCCCTAGGGAGTTTCGGAGGGTCCCGAGATGGGGTCCAGAAGTACCCAGAATTTTCCGGATCTCAAGGAAATTTCACCCAGAATCCTTCCGAGTTCTCGACATAGCAATCCTGCCAAAGGTCGTGTCAGTCATCTCCCCTGATGTGTGCAGAAAACATCACTAGGCTGATTGGCTGAAGTCCTGAAATCGTCCAAGTACCTTTTGTTATTCGTGACGTGAGAATCTTCGCCACCACGCAGTGGAATGGAAGTTCTCCTCACAGAGCTCCATGCTATGAGACTAGTTCGTCGGGATTCATGAGAATAGTACACGGAACTGATCAGGATTTCAAGGAGAAACCAGTCGGAAACATTCAGAGTTTCGGAAAGTCCCAACCTGTTAGAATCCGAATTCGGGGCTTGAACAACTCTTAATTTCTCGACGTTTACGGTAGCTACCCTTACAGCGTAAGCCCTGCCCTCCAAAGGGAAGTTTTCGCCAATGGGTAGTCTAGTCAGCCTTTCTCCCGTTGACCCTATCCCCATGCGGATTGGAACTTGGAAGACAGCGGGGATACAGTGCATGTTTCAAAGCGCATGATAGCGCAGCCCATTTGAGAACGGGGATATGAATACAGCCATTCTACTCTTATAGTGAGATCATCTCATTGAGATGAACGTAGTGATAATGATCATGACTCCATTTGGGGTATGTTCTAATCGTCCTGTCTCAATCAAACAACGCCCTTCCAATTGAGCAGCACTGCAGTTGCAGTTGTGGTCTTCAACATATGACGACTCATCTGCATTGGCCCATGCTGAAGCTGCCATAGTGAGTGCATTGCCAAATTCATGAGAATAATAATATTACTAAACATGAGAATGAGACCATATATACATATGCAACATCTTGACACCTACAAGACTGTCGGGCAAATGCGTGTTTTGCTGGAGGGGAGGCACAGCTGGTGTAGCAGCGGTACCCAGACACACGCAATATCTGTATTATAATTTGCCTTGGGAGATCAAAGATGGATGAACCAGCCCTAGTGACATGTGGGCAGGATGGGTTTGGCTGATCCATGTCAGACGCCCATGTCAGACGCCAGCCCATCTCAGGCAAAGAGCTGGTTTGGTGCGTTGTGAGATGGATCAACCAGCCCAAGTGATACGTGGGCAGCGTGAGGCACCATCTCTTGCATGCCGCCACACGCAGCACGCAGCAACGCAGGTGGGCGCTGCTGGGACACAGTGCAACACGGCATCATCACAGTGCACGCTTATCAACCTCGTCCACCCTGCTGGCCTCATTGCACCTGCTGCACCACTAGCTTGAGCCTCTTCCCACCATAGCGCTCGCCCTCCCATTGTTCACCCATCCTTGCACTCATCGATCGCAGCCACATGCCTGCTTGTCGCCCCCCCACCTCACCACTGCGTCCCCACGCCCTCCTGCCACGAGAGCCTCACCCCCCCCCCCTCCCCGCCTCCCAGCAGCCCCACTTGCTCCAGAATCCACCTGTCCAAATCCGCCTGCTGCTGCCCCTCCCATGCCCCTGCCCTCACACACACGGAGGGAGCAGCAGCGGCAAGAGGAGGAGCAGGTGGAGAAGGGGGAGGAAGGGGAGCAACAGGAGGCGAGGCAGGTGGAGCCGAAGGAAGAGGATCCGCAGTGGTGCTGTGGGAGATTGGGAAAGGGGCCGTCATAGCAGGCAGCTCGTTGCCAGGAGAAAGGGGGAAGTGAGGAAGGAGAGGCAGAGGTGGTAGAGGAGACAGGGGAGGGAGGGGAGGCAGGGTCTCCAGAGGGATAGTTAGTGGAGAGGGGGGAGATGGAGTGACCGGGACGTAGTGCTGGGCGGTACACGGGGGGACAGTGCGGGCGGCAAGCTGGGCGGCAGTGGCAGCATTCGCAGGGAGAGGTGGAGGGGGCAGGTTGGGAGGGCAAGAGAGAGGGGCAGCTGCTGCTGCGCGCAGCAGGTCAGGCGGCGGGGGATGCAAGGCGGAGGTGACTGCCGCGGTGGCCAAGGGTGGGCTCGGTGCATCAGAGCACGAGGAAGGAGCAGAGAAGGTGCCTGTGCTTGACTCCACCATCTGCTCGTTGCAGCTTCTCACATGCGCCCGATGATTCTCCTGATGCTGCTGCTGCTGCTGCTGCTGCTGCCGCTGCTGTTGCTGCCGTTGCGTCTTCACCACGTGCCATTCTTTCTGCAGTAGCACCGCATTATCTTCAACCTCAACAGTCTTGACACGCTTGCTATCATTCCAACCTTGGAGTCCCGCGGCCTCACCATGCATATCTGGGCCCTGCAGCCGCGGGTTCACCATTGCACCCCATGATGCACCACCCTCGTGCTTCCATTTCCCCCCCAGCCATCCATCCTTCCCCCCTGCACGCCGCGCACCTGACTGCGGCAGCACATGCGGGCGGCACTGCTGTGCCGACCACCGCAAGTCACACGTCAGCAGGTGGCTCTCTGGCGCCGCGTGAGTCGACCCAATGACCCCTTGCTGCTCGCCGTATCGGGGCTTGCTTGCAACCAGGGGGGGAGTGGTCACGCGCAGCGCGGGGCCAGGCGGTGGTTGCAGGCAGAAGGGGAGAGCACCGGGGGGCTGAGGCTGCTGTGGGCGGAGGCAGAAGCGGAACTCCTGCTGTGGCTGCTGCGGCTGCTGCTCGTGCTCGAGAAACTTCCTGCAAGGCATGGGGGAGCGGTGAAGGTCCGTGGGCACGGGGGGCAAGGGAAGTTGGTTGAGACATGCTGGGGGCGAGAGGCGAGGCCAGCCACAAGGGAGAGTGTGCCAGAAGCCAGAAGCCAATTGAAGCGACTGGAGCACATTTTGAGCAGCAGGAATCTCGCCTAGAGCGAACCGGGGAGAGCACCTTTTGAGCAGCAGGAAGCGGTTGCAGCACGCCTTGTTGTCGCGCAGCGGCAGTCGTCCGCTCGCCCTGAGCTGCCCCCACTCCGCCGTGCCGTGCGCCATCACGTGCTCCAGCAGCGCCGCGTCCTCCTGCGGGGTGACGCGGAGAGACGAGGGAGTGAGAAAGGAGGAAGTGGGAGAGATGCGGGTTGGAGGCCATGTCCTCCTGAGGGGACAAGAAAGGGGAGAGAACGAATGTGGGCGAGATAAGCGAGAAGGGCACAGGGCGCCACGTGCTTCAAGAGCGCCGCGTCGTCCTGGGAGGGGAATGAGGACAAGAGACGAGCGAGAGGGGAGGGGAGAGGAGAGAGATGAGCGCAAGGGACGACCTGCGCCATCACGTGACCCAAGCGCGCCGCGTCCTCCCGGCGAGGGGGAGAGAATATGAGAGCAGGTGGGGGAGACGAGCGAGAGGGACAAAGCGCGCCATCACGCGCTCCAGGGGAACAGCGTTATGCTGACGCCATGACGCGAGGAGGCGAGAGAAAGTGACAGAGACAGAGTGAGGACGGCGGTCGCCGGTTGAGGGGCGTGGGTCAAGGTAGCAACAATACGACACGACTCGAGGAGAGGAGAAAGCACTTGCATTTGAGTAGGCACGCGACGCGCACTCACCTCGGGGGTCCATCGCGCCAAGTACTGCCGCGGGCGCGCCGCAATCGCCGCTCTCCTGACGCCCGCACTGCCAGGGGCCCGCCGGATCTGCGGGTTTGCGGTCGTTGATTGGCGGAGTCGCGGCGGACGAGCGCCATCGACGTCGTTTGCTGCAAGGCTTTCCCCGAGGGAATCCACTGACGCGGCATACCACCCTCCGCCGTGCGACATGGGAAACATTTCAACCGCTCTACACCGAAACGCCTATCCTCCTTCAACGCGCTGGCAATTGACACAGCTTGCTAGGTTGTGTGGTCGGTTGCCAGATAATGGCGGGGTAGGGATAGCGAAATACTAATCGCCGGGTTGCGCGCGGATGGGATGTCTTGTGGGCAGTGGCGGCAGGAAAGGCGGTGATGATGCACAGTCCACGCGAGCAGCGAATGCGACTATTTGGCACAGTGGACGACGCATGTCGCGATTTGATATAGTGGAAGGCCCGATCGGAGCCGGGCTTGCAGCAGGTGGAGGCCGCGACGCGCGAGAGAGAGCGGGGCGAAACGGCGCAGATGCTCCGCAACGAGATGCGCGACGCGGGTCCATTGGGGAGACGTGTTTGTTTGGACGCGTCACTACCGTCTCCCCTGGACGCTGGACGATTTGTCACGATTCCGACCGAGATACAGTGCGGCGATCGCGCTGCTGCCACATCGCCCCCCTAGCGCACGATGACATGCGAGAGGAGGAGGTCGCTCTGGCACAGTGTCACCTCCGCTGTGCTGCTCGCCTGAGGGTTCAGGAACCAGGACGGCCTTGCCTGTTGGAGGCAGCATTGTACGTATCAGAGTTCGTCTTCCTCTCTGCTTGCTCGGCTGTCAGGGGCTAGTTCGGTTCGCTTATGCTCTGCTCGGCTCTGCGCTGCTGCGCACAGCAAGTGGTAGCCAGGAGTTCTCGTAAGGGGCGAGTCACCTCAAGTCACGAGTAACAGCCACTCACATCGCGCAGTGGAGCAGTGGAGGCTAGGTGGGCGCACTGCTTTGTGCATCGAGTATCCTCCTCCCCGCTCCCGCAATCCCCGTTTCGGGAATGCGAGAAATCGGGCGATGGGACTGACGCTGAAAGGCCAAATTGCCACGCGGAAGTGACGTGGGCCTCCAACAACCAAGGAGAAGTCTCCCGTGACATGGCTCACGATTGATTGGCTCGGGCTTGTGCAGGGCCAGCTGGGCTGGGCATGGGAGAGGTTCGAGAAGGATGGTACTGGGGGGTCTTAGCTTCTGCAGTCAAATCAGTGGGGAATGCAATCGATTGCCTCACTGAGTTGACCGCAGAAGCTAAAACCCCATGGTACTGTGAGGCTGGAAAGTCCCCCATTTTCGGGGATGAATGACAGCCACAAGATACTTGTGGTGGAGGTGAGATCCAAAACAACAACTGGAAAAAAATACAACATTCAGAAGCTGAACGTAGCACACCTGTACATTTTGCCCTTCAAAGTATGTGCATTTGCTAAAGCGTATAACATGCATTACACATTGCTTTCAAGCATCAAGTGTTCCTACATCAAAGATGGATAAAAACCTGGTATTTATTGCAATACGGTAAACAACCAATGATAAGCTAGGAGCTAATCATTACAATATCTTCCCCATAGATAAAACAAACCCATGGAATGACACAGTTAAGAGAGCACATGCGGTTCCAGCTAGAAGCTCTATTCCCTTCTATTGTGTCTATAGCACCACTTTGCCTGCCCTCCCGGCTCAAACCCACACGCTCTAGATCCTGCTCCAGCCCCTTACTCCGCCAACCATCTCCATGCCTCCACCCTCCACAATGCCCTGCAATGCTCCCCCCTCCCACAGGCACACCACCCCGGGCTGCTCGTCCCACCCACCACCGCCACTCACCCTTGGCCTCTTTGCCCCCTGCCCCGACACACAGCCCCCCTCCCCTGCATCGTGCATCAACCCCCCCATTCCTCCACCCGCCTCGGCCTCCCCCCTTCCTCGCACATCTGGCGGTATGGCAGTGCTCCCTCGCTCAGCATCCCCACCTGCCATCAGCTCAGCAGGCCCAAGCCCCACCCCCAGCAGCCCCACCTGCTCCAGAATCCACCTGTCCAGATCCGCCTGCTGCTGCCCCTCCCATGCCCCTGCCCTCCCACACGCAGTGGGGGGAGGAGCAGCCAGAGGCGGGTGAGGATGCGGAGCGAGATGAGGGAGAGGAGCAAGATGGGCAGCCTTGTTGCAGGGGAGTGAAGCCGGGGGATGGAATGTGTGCGGGTCAGAGTCGGGAGGGAGTGGGTGGAGGGGAGGGAGGGTGTTGAGAAGACAGGGCGGCGAAGAGGATGCCACCGACAGACTAAGATGGTGCAGCTGGGGGGGAGACTGGGCGGCAAAGTGGGCGGCAGCAGCAGGCTGTGCTGGAAGAGGTGGAGGGGGCAGGTGGCGAGAGAAGGCGAGGGGGACAGATGCGGCTTGCAGCGGACTGAGAGGCAGACGATTCGAGGCAGGAAGGGCTGTGGCGGTGGCAGCAGGTGCGTCCAGCAAGGCACACCCGGAGGACGGCAGGGGAGAGGCAGTCGCCTTCACAGCGTGCTCGTTGCAGCTTCTGCCGCGCTCTGAATCATGCTGCAGCAGCTGCTGTACCTGCTGATGCTCCTCCTGCAGCGCGTGGGGCGGTTTGTGCCGCAGCGGCACATTGCCCTCAACGCCCACACTCTTGAGCCGCGCGCCTTCACGCAACCATTCACACCCCATGGCAGTGTGACACGCACGTGGGGCGGTGAGGCCGCCCTGCAGCCACGGCTCCATCATCGCATCCCACGCCGCACCATCCTCGGGGCTCCACTGCCCGCCCTGCCACCCTGCGTGCTGCACACTGGCCTGCTGCCTGGCCTGCACGTGGGGCTGAGCCGCAGAGGCCATCAGGTGCAGTGCGGTCTCAGGCGGTTGGAGGCAGTAGCGAAGCACGCCGTGGGGGGGATGCTGCTGCGGGCAGGGCCAGAGAAAGAGCTCCTGCTGCTGCGTCTGCTGCGTCTGCTGGTGCTGCTGGTGCTGCTGCTGGTGCTGCTGGTGCTGCTGGTGCTGCTGGTGCTGCTGGTGCTGCTGCTGGTGCTGCTGCTGGTGGTGCTGGTGGTGCTGGTGCTGCTGGTGCTGCTGGTCGTCGTGCTGGAGGAACTTCCTGCGAGGCACACGGGGGACGGAGGATGATGAGAGAGTCGAGCGTGCAATGAAGCACTGCCAATTCGGTGACTAGTTATGAGGCGCCTCGAATCGAGAGTCGAGAGTGCGATGAAGCAGTGACAATTCGGTGACAGTAGGGTCGGAGGAGCGGAATTCAGGTGAGTGTAATCGTGAGCGCACCAGTTGACGAGCAGAATCTCGCCTAGAGCGAAACGGCGAGAGCACCTCTTGAGCAGCAGGCATCGGTTGCAGCATACCTTTTGAGCAGCAGGAATCTCGCCTAGAGCGAAACGGGGAGAGCACCTTTTGAGCAGCAGGAAGCGGTTGCAGCACGCCTTGTTGTCGCGCAGCGGCAGTCGTCCGCTCGCCCTGAGCTGCCCCCACTCCGCCGTGCCGTGCGCCATCACGTGATCCAGCAGCGCCGCGTCCTCCTGCGGGGTGACGCGGATACACGAGGAAGAGAGAAACGAGGAATTGGACGAGACGAGCGTTACAGGCCGTGCGCGCCGTCACGTGCTCCAGCAGCGCCGCGTCCTGCCGTGGTGACACGCGGCAGCGACGAGAGAGCGAGAGATTGGGAGAAATTGAGAAGTTCCGGAAAAAAAGGGCGCCATGAGAGGAGTTCGGCGCAGGAAGGAACGGGAGCGGACGCGGGTTGGGCTCTAAAATTGGGCTTGAATCCGACCTCCGCGTGCTCACGAGACCGCCCGAATGCAGGCACGCGGAGGCACGCGAAGGGACAGCGGAGGCGGGAGGAGAGCCGGGGAAGGGCTCACCTCGGGGGTCCATCGCGCCAAGTAGTGTCTCGAGCGCGCCGCATTCGCCGCTCTCCTGCCGCCGATCGCCGGGACAGGATGCGACTCGGAGTCCGTCGATGGGTCCGCAGGTGCCCGCTGGCGGAGCTGCGGTGCGCGCGCGCGGTGGCCGCCGCCCGCTACCCCCGTAGCGGCGGAGGGGCTTTCCGCGACTGCCTCCATCGCGGCGACACCGTGCGACGTTAGCACCATGTCGCTAGCGTGCGACGTTCGCAAGTTGAAGACGCCGCGCACGAGTCCGTCGATCCGAACGAGATTGGCGCTCCAGGTGGCTGCGCGCACCAGCGCAACGACAGGCGGGCGGGGACTAACTGCGATACGCGGGCGAAGGAAGCTGAGTGAAACGGCCACCTGCTGAAATGCGAGGGCCGGAGATTGCAACTTTAGCTGCGGGTCGTGCAAGCTCTTGTGCGATATGACGTGTTCTAGCGGCAGCGGTTCCGCATAGAAATAAAAGCGCTTGCACGGAGGAGAACGAGGTCTTGGGCGCTACTACTAGGCGAGCTGGGAGGTTTGAGGTCCGAGGTGCGAGGTGCAGATAGTGAAGGCACTGGCGTTCCTCGCCGTCCCTTTATTCTCCGCATGCGCGCCTTGGCACTGCCATGTGACGGGCCTCGTGACTTGAAACCCAACGCGCATCTCATGGATCGAGGACTGCGGTGGGCCGGAGCCTAACGCCCGCAGCGTGCGAGTCTCCGAGTCTTGCACGAGCGGCTGGGCCCGTCCGGACGACGCGGTTGTCGCAGCAGCGGTCCGTAACGGAAATCGGCCGGTGGGGCCTGCACTATCACTCGCACTCGCACTCGCACTCGCACTCGCACTCGCACTCGCCCTCGCACTCGCACTCGCCCTCACGCTTGTCGTGGCAGTGGGCCACGGGCGAGCGAACGATTCTGTCGTGATGCGGAGCGACGACGTGCGATGACGTGCGAGAGACGACGCCATTTGGCTACAAGGAGCGTGCACTGCTGCAATGCTGCCGCTACCCCCCCCCCCTCCTCCCTTTTGCACAAATACTGTACAGTATGGCCCAAGGCCCCTCCAATTTCCCCCCTCGCAATGCGGTCGGCACGAAACGCCGTAGCGGAGGACATGGGTGCGGGCCATGGTCCACTGCATCCTCCCGCCAGAACTCGTGGCGTACTGGAGGAGGCATGAGGGGATTCAGAAGGAACCTCCACCGTTACCAATGAGGCAATCACATGACCTGAGGGCGACTAAGAACAATAAGAGCCAATGAGAGTGAGAGGGCTTCTCTTTTCTTCCATTCCTTTCTGTCCGGTTTGGTATTTTTTCTGCCATTCCGTCCAGTTCTGTTCTGCTCTGTAACCTGCTCTCTTTCTGTTTCTGTTTCTGTTCCCATTATCGTGGTGGAAGTGACGGGGAAGGTGAGAGGTTGAGTACGTTCCAGAAAGTTATGGTGCTCTGCAGTGTGTCATCGAGGGTCGAACTTCTGCTGTGGACTGACAGCAGTGGTGGTCACTTGCGCCACCAACAAAAGGACCAGGCTCGCGAGCGAGTCGCGAATTTGTGGGGAGCATGTGCGACGCATCATTCCTTGTCACAGACCCACGTGCCCCCCGTGCATTTGGGAGATATGCGCTGTCAAGGCAAAGCTGTCACGCTGAAATGACGTGGGACTCCAACAACCGAGGAAAGTGAGTTGGTTAGAACGCAAGAATCAACTGACCCCACCTGAGCTGGAAGGACATTCTCCTGAACTCCGGGAATCAAGACCAGAACGTTCTGTCTGAAATCTTCCCTTCTTTGAACGACAGCCACAAGATTGACGACTTCGTAGGATACCCTACAAGGATTCCTCGTTATTCTCCGACGAAAGGCGGTGCCTTGTCCCTTTGGTGTTGTGGGTTTAGTAAATTCTTTCACAAAAAGTTGACTGTTTGCTTGCATAGTAAATTGATTGACTTGTATTTGTAGCCATGACATAAAAGGACGCCTGAAAATATCACGCTCCCAATGCATTTGCAACGGACCCTCCACATGTCTGAACGTTGGGTGAAACTGAATAAATCCATATTTCGTGGGCAAATGTGCAAGTAGTTAGCAGCACTAACTGGTTTCACATTCACTCACATGTGCTTCTTCAAACCCAGAGTCTCCCCAGCAGCCTATTGATTCACAGTGGCGGCCGTCCGCCCCTCTCTTTGAGCTCAATCCACCGGGAGAAATACTCAGTGGCCCTGTTGCTGTCATGCCACAAGATGGCCTGCGACATTGAAGTGGCATGGAATGAAGGGGTCAGAACAAACACTTCTGATTTCATCACAATTGACGAAGGAAAACAAGAAACCTGTGTTCTCAGTGAACACCCAATTCATAAATAAATGCTGGCTTGTTACCCGACAAAGCAAATCATCATCAGGATGTTCACGTGGATTCACACTCACCGCTGTGTAGTCACGCAATCTATGATCACCCATGTTTGACTTGGCAGCAGCCAGCGAGGCGAGGAGCGCTGGTCCATTGCGCGGCATGCCAAACTGCTGGTGGAGGATGGCGCGGCCCTGAGCGGGCGCACGCACGCGGAGGCAGAGAGAGGGGCGGTGGGTTTAGAGAGAGCGTGAAGCTCGAGCAGCAATGAGCGATAAAGGTGAGATCCGTACGGGGTCACACCAAGAGGAGAAACGAGTCGATCACATGGGGCAACGTGCGGGGGGGAGGGCCGGGACCAGCAGGATAGACAGACGGGGCACAAGGCAAGCCACGGCCCGGTGTGTGGGGAGCGGCAGAAAAGGCAAGAGAGGCAAGATAGGCAAGATAGGCACTGCAGGGGAGACAGAGCAAGAGGGGAAGCGCACCGCTGATTGACACGTGGCCCACAGCTGTTGGTCGCAGTAGAGCCGCACCGCATCTGCTACGAATGACTCTGCATCCTCCGCCCCGCACAGCCCCCCCCACTGCTGCCCTCCGCTCCACCCTCCCACTCCCCCTGCCTCCCCGTTTACCTCCTCCCCTTCCGCCTTCCCCCCCTCCCCTCCTCCCCTGCCGCCCATGCCCTCTCCGCCAATGGGCGTGGTAACCACCGGCGTGCCGTACAACCAGCTGTCGAGGATCTTGCCCTTGATTCCCGCCCCGAAGCGCAGCGGCGCCAGCAGCACTGCGAGGGGGCAGTAGAGCCCAGAGACGAGGGATGGGGAGGAGGGGTGGGTTTGCGGGGTGGACGGAGGAGAGTTGTAATGGAGGGGGGAAGGGGAGGGGAGGAAGGGGGGAATAGCAGCAGCAGAATGCAGCAGCAGCAGAGAATGCTGCAAAAGCTGAGAATGCTGCACAGCAGAACGGGTGCTTGAAAAGCTGAGAATGCTGCACAGCAGAACGGGTGCTTGAAAAGCTGAGAATGCTGCAGTACGGATGGGTGCAATGCGGTGAAGTGTGGGGTGAGGCAAGGGAGGCAGGGTGGAAGTGGTGGCGACCTCGGTAGGAGGCGAGGACGTGGAGGGAGGGGGCATGGCCGCGAATGAGGAAGCCAGAGGAGGGGTCATTAAGGGAGGAGATTGCTGCTGTGGTGTAGGAGCCGTACACGTGGCACTCAGCCATTGGCAGCTGAGAGAAGAGGGAGGAAGGGAGGGGAGGGGGGTGGGAGGGGCACATGCAGCGTGAAAAAGCATGAGGTGGAAGACGCATGAAGGTAGGGATGATTGGATGGATGCGAGATACGAGCAGGACGAGATACGAGCAGGACGAGATACGAGCAGGACGAGATACGAGCAGGACGAGATACGAGCAGGACGAGATACGAGCAGGACGAGATACGAGCAGGACGAGATACGAGCAGGACGAGATACGAGCACACGACCCGCACAGTCAGTCAGCTCGGCCAGAGAGTGAGCATGGATTGTCGGCGCAGCCTCACCTGAGAGCGGCCTGCCTTGCCTCACCTGAGAGCGTATAGTCGGCCAGATGTGCCGTGCGAGCCCCTCACCTGCGCGCGGATGGCGGGCCAGATGTGAGTGGCGAGCCACGAGACGGCGTCCACGTTGGGCGCATGGCGGAACGTGCCCACCGTGGTGAAGTGGTGGCGGGGGGAGGAGGCGGTGGAGGAGGGATAAGTGGCGTCTGAGTGGAGAGAGGGGGAGAGGAGGGGGGAGGGGGAAGAGGGAAGGGGTCAGGGTAGCACACAAGGGATTGTTGGGCGCATGGTGGAACGGTCCGACAAGGGTGAAGTGATGGCGGTGGGGGAAGGAGGGGAGAGAGGGCCAGGAAGGGGGATGGGTGGCATCGGAGAGAAGGGGGGAGGGATAGGTAGCGCACAGAAAGAGACGAGGTGGCACGGTGGGAACGAGGTGGATAGCACACGGGACGAGATGGCACTGGGAGCGCCTCCCCCCTCGGGATTCATGGGGAGAATCAGAGCAACGCAAAGCCAGCAGGTGCAGCAGTCTCGCAGAAGCAGACTCCACCTCCTCTCATCCCCACCTTCCACTGGCTCACCTGCTCTCATCCCCACCTTCCACTGGCTCACCTGCTCTCATCCCCACCGCCCCATGGCTCACCTGTGTCGTAGAAAAACGAGGCGAGTGCGAGCTTGTGCGGCGGGAAGGCGTAGCAGCGAGTGAGCAGCGAGAGCTCCGCCTCTGAGCACAGCTGAGGGGGGAGAGGGAGGGAGGAAGGGGGAGAAGGGGAGGGAGCATGGTGGACGCTAGTCCGCAGGGAGCAACATCATGGCGTGCTGGCCCCATGGCGTGCTGGCCGCATGGCGTGCTGGCCCCATGGCGTAACAGGATTGCAGCAGTGAGAGGGTGATGACAGGACGAAGGCACAGACCCCACTGTGCAAATATAGCGGGGGTACCTACCAGAGTGAGGTCGCATCGGTGCATGGCTGCCAATTCGCGCAGCAGCTCCCTGCTGCTTGTATCGGGTACGTGGTGTAGCGCGTCCACAATGGAGCCGCCCTCAGATACCACCCGCTGCCGGTTTGCCTGTCTGCCAGGGTAGGGGATGGGGCGAGTGAGAGGCATGTGATGCGAAAGGTATGGGATGGGGACGTGGCATTGTGCCCTGCGATACCATTCTATGCTACTCCATGCCATGCCGTGCCATGCCATGCCATGCCGTGCCGTGCAGTACACTGCCGTGCCGTGCCGTGCATTACGGTGCCTTGCCATGCCGTGCGGTACCATGCCATGCCGTGCCATGCCATGCCATGCCGTGCCATGCCGTGCCATGCCATGCCATGCCGTGCCATGCCATGCCATGCCGTGCCGTGCCATGCCATGCCATGCCGTGCCATGCCATGCCATGCCATGCCGTGCCATGCCATGCCGTGCCATGCCATGCCATGCCGTGCCATGCCATGCCATGCCATGCCGTGCCATGCCACGCCACGCCATGCCGTGCTGTGACACAACGGGATTTCGAAACCCTGACACTCCGCCCTCAGTGCGTGCAGGCCTCAATACACCGCCCTCAGTGCGTGCAGGTCTCAATACACCGCCCTCAGTGCGTGCAGGTCTCAATACACCGCCCTCAGTGCGTGCAGGTCTCAATACACCGCCCTCAGTGCGTGCAGGTCTCAATACACCGCCCTCAGTGCGTGCAGGTCTCAATACACCGCCCTCAGTGCGTGCAGGTCTCAATACACCGCCCTCAGTGCGTGCAGGTCTCAATACACCGCCCTCAGTGCGTGCAGGTCTCAATACACCGCCCTCAGTGCGTGCAGGTCTCAATACACCGCCCTCAGTGCGTGCAGGTCTCAATACACCGCCCTCAGTGCGTGCAGGTCTCAATACACCGCCCTCAGTGCGTGCAGGTCTCAATACACCGCCCTCAGTGCGTGCAGGTCTCAATACACCGCCCTCAGTGCGTGCAGGTCTCAATACACCGCCCTCAGTGCGTGCAGGTCTCAATACACCGCCCTCAGTGCGTGCAGGTCTCAATACACCGCCCTCAGTGCGTGCAGGTCTCAATACACCGCCCTCAGTGCGTGCAGGTCTCAATACACCGCCCTCAGTGCGTGCAGGTCTCAATACACCGCCCTCAGTGCGTGCAGGTCTCAATACACCGCCCTCAGTGCGTGCAGGTCTCAATACACCGCCCTCAGTGCGTGCAGGTCTCAATACACCGCCCTCAGTGCGTGCAGGTCTCAATACACCGCCCTCAGTGCGTGCAGGTCTCAATACACCGCCCTCAGTGCGTGCAGGTCTCAATACACCGCCCTCAGTGCGTGCAGGTCTCAATACACCGCCCTCAGTGCGTGCAGGTCTCAATACACCGCCCTCAGTGCGTGCAGGTCTCAATACACCGCCCTCAGTGCGTGCAGGTCTCAATACACCGCCCTCAGTGCGTGCAGGTCTCAATACACCGCCCTCAGTGCGTGCAGGTCTCAATACACCGCCCTCAGTGCGTGCAGGTCTCAATACACCGCCCTCAGTGCATGCAGCGAAGGTCACGCAACCCACTCTCAGTGCGCCGTGCAAGCCAGAGGGAAGGCCGTGCAAGCCACAGGGAAGGCCGTGCAAGCCACAGGAAAGGCCGTGTAAGCCACAGGGAAGGCCGTGCAAGCCACAGGGAAGGCCGTGCAAGCCACAGGGAAGGCCGTGCGAGCCACAGGGAAGGCTATGCAACCCACTCTTAGAAAGTGCAGGTCCTGCGTGTCGAGCACGAGCAGGCAGTCGGGGCAGCGCTCCCTCAGGCGGAAGGAAAAGGCCTCCTCTGTCGTGAACCTGCCACAGGACGAGGGGGGGAGATGGGCCAAGGGGGGAGATGGGCCAAGGGGGGAGATGGGCCAAGGTGGGAGATGGGCCAAGGGGGAAAAATTGTGGAGGGGGGAAGGAAGGGTGGGGAGGCAAGGGAGAGAAAGCTGGAGGAGAAGGAACAACAAAACAACGAAGGGGATTGCGGGGTAGAAAGCGACAGAACAGCAGCGAATGGGGGAGGGGAGAGCAAGAGGCATGGGAGGAGGTCTGGATGCGACGGTCAGAGGAGGGAGGTAGCAACAGATGCAGCGGGCCCTCTGGCTCGGCGCGTGGAGGACAGGGCCACGCCTCGCTCCGTCCCTCTTCCACCCCTCGCCTCCCATCACCCCCGCCCCTTCATCCCTCGCCATGCCAGCCGCAATGCACACCCATCCCTCCATCCATCGCCCCCATGCCCCCCCACTCTCGCCCCCCCTCCATCCCTTCTGCAGTGCTGACCTATCGAAGACTGCAATGGTGGGCTGCACGGCGTCCAGCACAGCGAGGAACTCCGCGGCCCTGCCACCACGGGGAGGGATGCCACAGGGTGCAGCAGAAGGCGCAAGAGAACCATGAGAACCTCTCTCATTGCGTGGCGAATTCCGCATCCCACCGGTCCCCACTGGGAGACGAGGGTGTGAGGGGAGCAAGGGCAGAACGGTGGCTGCCGGTGTCAGCAGCGGTGCAGTGGCAGCGAACCGAGTGGGAAGCACTGCCATGCCACCGCACACTGGGGTGAGCGATGCTCGCCAGGGAGAGCGCGGCGGCTGGAGGGTGGGGGAAGCGGTGAGGGAAGGGATGGGGGAAGGGATGGGGGAAAGGGTGGGGGAAGGGGTGAGGGAAGGGGTGGGGGAAGGGGTGGGGGAAGGGGTGGGGGAAGGGATGGGGAAAGGGGTGGGGGAAGGGGTGGGGAAGGGGTGGGGTAATGGGTGGGGGAAGAGGGGAGGATGCATGCGTTTGCTTGTTCCCAGTATCAGGGAGGCGGGGGCAGGTATAGCGGTCCAATGACACAATGCCTATTGAGGCACCTCAAGTATCACCTGCTCGGCGCACACTGGTGCGTGGCAATGCCTGCTGCTTCTGTTGAGGCACCTGAAATATCACCTGTTGGGTGCACACTGGTACGTGGCAATGCCTGCTGCTTCCAACTCCTCAGAATAGACGTTGCGCCTTGCAGGGCTGATGGGAGGCAGCGAGAGCAGAGACAGCAGAGCGCAAAGAGCAGAGAGAAGAGCGCAGAGAGCAGAGGGAGGAAAGGGAGGAGAGGGGGAAGAGGGAGGAGAGGGAGGAGAGGGAGGAGAGGGAGGAGAGGGAGGAGAGGGAGGAGAGGGAGGAGAGGGAGGAGAAGGAGGGGGAGAGGCACGGGCACGGGTTGCCAGCAAGGAGGGGGAAGAGGGCGAGGGTGGCAGGAGGGCACGAGGCAGCAGGGAAGCTGAGAATTGAGAGGAAAACCAACAAGGTGCGAGCAGTGCAGCGCAGTGAACAGAGTATGAGGAGGGTGCAAGCACGCAGGAACAGATGGAGACTGCTCGGACACGTGTGGCGACGGGCATTCATCGGTGATGGCAAACGGGATACAAACAACACACTCAGCAAGTGCTGGACAACCTCCCAACTCCTTCCTACCTTCAGGTCCTCAACCCCCGGCAAGCCTCCTTCAGCCCAACTCCATCCAACCGTCCCGCTCAATCCCATTCCGCCCCATCTCATCCCACTCTCTCCCTCTTCATCCCACCCCATCCCACCCCACCCCGCCCCACCCCGCCCCAGGCCACCCGTCCTCACCTCATAAAGTGCAGCTGGTTCCCGGGCCTCTCGCCACCGCTGCCCCCACCTCCCCCATTCGTCCCCCCCAGCACCCGCAGCAGCTGCGCCGTGCGCACCCCCGCCGCCGTGCTGCCGTGCTCCGGCCTGGCGGGATGGCGGAGGGACGAGCGGACGGCGGGAATGGCAGTGCAGGGACGAGCGGAAGGAAGGAGTGGGGGAGCGAGTCGACGGAACGGAGGAGGGGGGATTGGAGAGGGGGGGATTGGAGAGGGGGGGGATTGGAGGAGGGGGGGGGAGGGGGTTTTGGAGAGGGAACGGGCGAGGGGAAGGGAAGGGCGACAAGGGAAAATGGAGCAGAAACATCGGGCGGAAGGAGGGGGGGGAAGGGTAGGGATGGGGGAGGGGAGAGGAGGCAGAAGTTGGGGAGGAAAGGTGGCGGAGAGGAACGAGGAACGGCAGGAAGTGAGGACTGGCGGATCCAATGAGCATTTGAATCGTCCTACCCTACCTGGTTGCGCCGACCCTCATCCACCGCTACCTCTTCCCACGGCAGGCTCACCAGACCTTGCCTATGAAGAGAATTGATTCGGCCTGCAGCAGCGGCGACTGCGACAACGACTCTCGCGATCCCTCGTCACCCGCGACGCTCCACGGACTGTCGCCCGTCGCCTCGACTTCTGATAGATTCCACTCGGCGGAACCCGAGGCGAGGCTGCTGCGAGTCGCTACGCCGCGTCTGACGTGTTTTGTCGGAATGTTGCTGCCGTCAGCATTGCCATTTCTCCTAGAATCGGGATAGCGAGTTATGCCATAACGGACTGCACCGGCTATCTTGATTTCGCACAGAGAAAAGGCTGCATTGGTGAAGAGCGAGTGGGATCTCACGCCGTGGAATGCGGCGACGCGGAGCACGAACGCCATGGATCAGGGAGGGAGGCAAGTCGTGGTACAGAAACGCGGCTGCGGTGTCGTTTCCCTCCTGCGACAGAATCGATGGCGGCGATCGCAGATTGGAGGAATTGCGGCGGCGAATGGGTGACGTCAGTTATGAGTCGCGTTGTGTCGTGCGGTCTCGAGATCATCGCCTCGTGCTCATCTAGGTAGTTGGCTGGCGCCCTGCTGACGAACAGCCCTCGGTTGCCCAAGGGAATTTCCAACTAGCAGTGCCAAAAAACGCGATAATCGAGATTGTACAAAGCCGTACCACATTTGAGCGATAAAACACACATGATCACAAATGTACATGTGAACTCTCCTTAGCCATTCGGCCTCATCAACAAGGCAGTAAGGCATTGGTGAATTCCAGTGCCATCTCAGGGGCTGGGCCTGAATGACCGCGATGGATTTGGGGGAGCATAAGTGAGGATGGCGGTATCGGTATCTCACAAGAAAGCATGGGTGTATCTGGGAAGCTGTAGGAAGCATCATGCATTGCGTTGCTGCCGCTAGACAAGTCCAATTCCCAAGCATCATCGGGCTTCACATTGCTGGCTCTTCCAAATTCAAGCAGATTTGACGAGGAGAGTGTTATGAAGCTAGGTTAGCTAGGAAGGTAGGTGGCTATGAAATGGCAAGAGGTTTAGGAGCTAGGAGAGAAAGTTACAAGAGAAAAGAGGGTGAGACTAGGAAGAGAGAGGCATACAAGGAGGGAGTTGTACCCGCTACAGTAGAGTTCGGTAATCTACCAAACCTACCAATTATATAACACAATATATAATTTAACACACCCCCTAGGCTTGGTAGTCACAAGCCCACCCAACACACACACCCCCTAACCCCTTACACCCCCATGCTCGAGATCAGCCGGGTATCTACCCCTCGGGCTTGGCATGGTGACATCCCCCGGCGAGAGGCAGCGCGGGCAACGGTCATGGCTGAAGGCTCTCGGCGGTGTGGCACGGCGAGGCGACGACCGGGTAGAAGACAGCAGCTGCGGCAGGAGGAAGAGGAGATGCAGGGGAAGGGGGGGGCGGGGGGGGGGGGGGGGGGGGGCGAATCTTCAGCGACACGCCATGGGTGGCGCGGCGCTTACTGGCGGGAGAGGGCGAATCTTCAGCGAGGCACCATAGCTGGCGCGACGCTTACTGGCGTGAGGGCGAATCTTCAGCATGACACCATGGCTGGCGCGACGCTTACTGGTGTGAGGGCGTTACGACTGGCGCCTAGGACAGGGCGCTGGCCGCAGCTGTCCGTGCACTGGCGTGGTGAAGCCGCCGCGGCAGCACGACGGCACGGCGGCACAGCGGCGCGGCGGCATGGCGACCCAGCGGCACGGCGGCGCGGCGGCACCGTGGCACGGCGGCACCGTGGCACGGCGGCACCGTGGCACGGCGGCATGGCGGGACGGCGGCACTGAGGCACTGAGGCACGGCGACATGACGGGGCCAGCGTGGCGTGACGGGGCCAGCGCGGAGTGACGGGGCCAGCGCGACGTGACGGGGCCAGCGCGGAGGGACGGGGCCGGCGCGGAGTGGTGGGGCCGGCGTGTTCTAGCGGGGCCGGCGTGGCGAGACGGGGCTGGGGCAGAGTGACGGGCCGCGTGACCGGGGGGGGGGGGGGGGGGGGGGGAGGGCGAGTACGCTGCGGAAGCGTGAGGAGAAGGCCAGAGCGAAAGGGGCCTGCTCTGAAACCATGTTATGAAGCAAGGTTAGCTAGGAAGGTAGGTGGCCATGAAATGGTGAGAGGTTTAGGAGCTAGGAGAGAAAGTTATAAGAGAAAAGAGGGTGAGACTAGGCAGAGAGAGGCATACAAGGAGGGATTTGTACCCTCTACAATAGAGTTCGGTAACCTACCAAGCTTACCAGTTATATAACACAATATATAATTTAACAAAGAGCACATCCGGGTTGATGCCATGATCAGCCGCGGCATCCCAGGATGCCCCATGTCATCCCAAGCAGGGCCTGAGTTAGGATTTTGGACATCCTGTCTACTCAGGGCTAGGCCTTAAAAACACGTGTACTGGTCAGGGTTGGACGTCAATGCTCATATTGTTTTTGCCAGGGTTGACATCTAGCACTTAACTGCAGCCTCAGGGTAATCTTCACACAGCCCAAAATATTGTTTTAAGTATACTAATAACAGCATAGCACCAGAGACAATCAATATTCACAACATAGCAGCGTACATGTGGCTCGACTCAGAAGTTTCCACTATCCTCATCATCACTAGAACTAAACCTGCTGCTGGAGCAGCTATTCTCATCGTCCGCTCGTGCCTCATCATCATGCTCCTCTTCGGACAACACCACCACCTTCTCTTTGCCCGTGGCAGACTTCCTCGCACGCACTTCGCTCTGGTGGGCCCTCCTTGGCCGTCTCTTCTTCATGCCGCGCCACAACTCAATGACCCTATCCCAGTTCATGTCATACTCCAGCAAACTCATGCACATGAGATCCTCCAGCTTCCCGTTGCACAGACTCGTCCGGTTCCAGCTCTTAATCACATTTTGTCGCAAGAATCCCCTCTCGCACTCGACAGTGCTCAGAGGAAGCACGGCCACAGCCACCCACAGGCGCACAAGATTCGGATAGCTGCGCGGCCAGCCGTTGGTCTCCAGGATGGCTGCAAGTCCGGCATGGAATGGCTGCTCCTCTTTTGGCACGAGGGTGCTGAGTTCCTTCCGTGCCAGCCGCTTATCGACTCCTGCCAGACACATACAGGAACACTCGTAAATCAGTACGGGAATGTGGAGGCATCAGGAACCACAGCAATGTACTACAATATTTCCGCACGTTGGGCATATAATATACATTAGCATGGATCACCTTACATGGCAAAAATTCAATGCGGTCGCTGGCGTGGAAGAGCTCGACCACGCTGTCTAAGTGCTCGGCGCACTCCTCGTCCCTCGCCTTCGTGTTCCGCGGCCATGTTCGGGGCATCCATAGCTTTGACCCATTGAGTCGCTCAAGGTCGCCGAGCCGCAGCTGCACGTTGTAGATAAGCTCAGTCGCATAGGAGCGATAGGTAAGCATGCAGGAAGCTTTGTCGCCGCGGGCAGTCGTGTAGTTTGGCAGCGGCTCCTCGTGAAGCTCGAATTGATGCACTCGTTCCACTCCGTCTGCATCAACGCCCTGCACGATCACATCTCGGCTGCTGGCGTGGCGCTCCAGAAACTTGGACAGACGATCGCTGCTCGTGCCGAAGTTAGGCCCGTAGTTGACGTAGCGTGAATGAATGAAGACGATCGTTCGCCGTATTTGCGACTGCACGCCCGTCAGGTCGATCTGTAGGAGGGTGTCGTGGGATGAAAGAACAACAAGAGGCAGTAAGTATTTTTTAAAAATTGATGGCAGTATGTTTTCTTTCTGACTTGGAGGAAAGTAGCAAACACAATCATGTGTTTGCCACGAACTCTGTCGGTACTCTCGTCACAACTCAAGCCAATGAACGGGCTTGACTACAAGTACTCCTGTTGACCAGCTCGTAGGTAGATGGCTGTCGACTTGGTTAACTCCTGAAAGCCATACCTGCGCAAACCATGCAGGTAGTTTAGAACATGCGCGAGATGAACACATGTTCAATAATAAACAAGTAAAACACCCAAGGAATTAAGTTGTGAAGTAAGACCCATAGCCTCGTTTGGGGAAACCAGGAGTACGTCGCTTCGAGAGGTGCCGCAAGAGTTGCACCCACATCTCGATGGGCGCGTCGGACTGGCAGATGAAAAGCAGAGTCTCCAGCAGTGCAGTAATATGCTCGTGCTAGAAAGTATGTGGTTTCAGCAAGTCCTCCATGCGCAGCTGCCCCTCAGCGATCGCAGTGGCGGTGGCTTGTCTCCGCATCGATCTCTTGTGCTTCCGCGTGGGCTGGTGGTTCTGCATCGCCTGCGTCTGGACGTCGGTCACACCTTCTCCGCCCTTGCCGTAGTTTGTTCCGGCCCCGCCATGTTCCATGCAAATCTTACACTTCAAAGCCGGGAATCCTGCACGTGTCTGATTAAGCACAAGCCAAGGAAAGTCAGTAATCCACCGCTTCTTAAATTGCCAGAGAGCCTCTTGGTACTTTCGTTCGGCCACGTCTTCAAGTTCGGTGCCCAATGACAAAGTCGGAGCCGCAGATGGTCCTGAAACAACGGGAGGGTCGACATGCAGAGTCGGAGCCGGAGTGTTTCGCGACCGCCCGAAACTTAGAGTTGCCTGTCGATAGCGTGAGGGCTCGAGCTTCTTCAACGGCGGTCCAATATAGGTCGACCCTTGATTCGGAGAAGTGCGGGGCGTAGTGCTTCGTTGAGGTGGTGTAGCTACAGCAGGGCGGGATGCCTCCTCTACTACTTCTACGGTGTGCGTTCGAGGGGGAGGTGTCGATGCGGGAGTATTTCTTCGCAGTAAGTCTAATCCCGTCATGGCACCAGGGTGGGATGCTGTAGAAGGATCGTTGGGAGCCTCCTCCTTGTCGTCAGTTCCTGATGCCAGCATAGTGCCCCTGACGGGGGGGCGGTTCACAGAAGAGAAACAAACCAACGAGCACAAGTTTTGTCGTCTATAACAGAAGATGGAATGTTTGGATGATTCAAGTTCAACCAAGGCATGAAAGGGAGCTGTGGGGAGGAAGGACCATCGGCGATGGCTGTTCTGTCGAGACGCGGGAATTTGGTCCTCCCCACATGGAGTGGTTGGCCGTCCAAACATCCCTGCATGCAATGCTGCTTCAGCGAGTGGACAGCAGCACTCAACACCTTATGAGGCCATGTTTCTCGTGGTGTGCTGGCTGCTATACTTAGCCGCTATTGGCCAGAATCTCGAGATTTGCAGTGCACGCGGCAAACTGGTCATTTCGCGGCAGCAATCTACAGGCAAAATGTGCGTTGGCACGAAATTTATGGAACTATGGGCAGTAAACAGGGGGTACACCCGTAGCCCCCCCCCTGAAGCCAGATTCGAGGTATCAGGGTTATCATCGAATTCATACTGAGCACTCAGGGCTGGTACACGAACACTATACTGAGTTGTCAGGGTTGCCATATGATAACCATACTGAATTTACAGGGTCAGAAATTCCTTTAATCAGATTTTTCAGGTCTGGCACCTCATACTCATCTTGAAAATCAGGAATTCAGGATATAACAT